CGGATCACGTGTGTCAGTGGCTGGAGTGGGCCGTGAAGGAGTTCGGACTGCCGGAGGTGGACGTGTCTCTGTTCCACAGCATCGATGGGAGGCAGCTCTGCAAGATGAGCAAAGACGACGTCCAGCGACTGACCAGCAGCTACACAGCCGAGATCCTGCTGTCTCACCTGCACTACCTCAGAGAGAGTGAGTGTCTCTCGCCCGTCTCTCTCTCTCTCTGTGTGTGTGTGTGTGTGTGTGTCTGACTGGCAGCTACACGGCCGAGATCCTGCTGTCTCACCTGCACTACCTCAGAGAGAGTGAGTGTCTCTCGCCCGTCTCTCTCTCTCTCTCTGTGTGTGTGTGTGTGTGTGTGTCTGACCGGCAGCTACACGGCTGAGATCCTGCTGTCTCACCTGCACTACCTCAGAGAGAGTGAGTGTCTCTCGCCCGTCTCTCTCTCTCTCTCTCTCTCTCTCTCTCTCTCTCTCTCTCTCTCTCTGTGTGTGTGTGTGTGTGTGTGTGTGTGTGTGCGCGCATTAGCTGCTCATCATGACGCTTTATAAGCTCTTCATTACTGACCTCATTCACTCCACTGACCTCTGACCTCATTTTCACATGACTCATTAACATGCATTAATAAATCAGATTATACCCGTGTGAATATCATCAGACATGTCCAGGTCATACTTCCCCCCGAAAGTCAGAAAATGTATATATTATCATTTAAATTTTAAGTAAAATTTTGATTTTTAAAACATAAAATTTTAAACTGAATTATATTTTGAATAAAGTCTAAAGAAATGTTGGTAACACTTTCTTATGAAGACCATGCTTATAATGAATTATAGCCTCATTTATACTTATTTATGTAAGGCATAATGTACATCCAGCCGGTTGTTATCTCAGAATAAACCCGACAGCGTGATCAGGATCAGGTCTGGCATCTGTTACAGTATGGAGACACAGGAGAGGAAGAATGATGGTGAATAGTGAGTTTATTGATAAACAAAGGTGAAGGGATGAGGTGAACGGGGTAGTGGAGTCCAAAGGGTGATCTTGGTGGAGACACAGAACACAGGTGAAACAGATGATGATGATGATGATGATAGTAACCATGGAAACAGATGAGTGGCGGGAAAACAGAACAAAGGAAGACACGTGACTAGTGACAACAAGACAAGACAGAAACACAACTGTGACATGCAGGTTGCATCTTTATAAATACATGAATGGATCCATACAACTGACTAATTACCACTTATAAATCAGTGTATTATGGATTATGAGCATACACATTGAAAAAGCAAATGCATGACATAAGTAATTATAAAAATAATTTAAATGTAACTACAACTGTTCTTTTAATGCAGTATAGGTCATAATGAGTCTTTATAAATATATTTATAAAATAGTAATACTTATAAATAGGTATAAATGGAGCTATAATTCATTATATGCATGGGCTTCATAGAAAGTGTTACTGAAATGTTTTGCATTGTGACATTATTGTGATCAAACAGAAGCTCATTTCACTTTCAGCTCTCAGTATTTCTTTACATCATTTATTTAATGCTGATTCAAATTAACATGTCAGAAGTGATGAGAATGATATTTCTATGCATTACAGTAACAAGAGTTTGTTGCCGAATGTGTTTAACTGTCACTGTGTAAAACATCTTCATGGTTTAAATATAAAATATATTTTTTTTTAAATTGCAGTGAATTTTGGGGTGAAATATTAGCCTGGTTAAAACCAGACCATTCTCAGTTGTAACTGAGTTATGGTCTGCCAAAGCTTCATAGACAAATCATTTCCAAAGCGGCGTCACCAACCAAATGCCTCCGGGCGCAATTGGATAGACCTAAAACCAATCAGAGCGCTGAAGGAGATGACGTATGCAGAGCGACGTTCGTCTGTTATAGAACAACTTGAATAAAGGAATAAACGAGCAGACACCTGATTAGCTACTTGCTCTACGTTTATTTAAAATTATCAGCAAGACAACTAGAAGTGAATGTGCTTTCCATTAAATAAATCACACACAGTAGCCTAAACAAAACCTTAACAAAAAAAACTTTGCAATGAACTTTGCAATTTAGACGCGCAAACTGCGTGCCGGTGCGGTGAGACGTACATGCTCGGGCAGATTCGGCTTGAAGTCGTTCATCCTCGGACGCGGCGCCTGTTACAAAAAAACCCGTGCACACAGCCAAGCGAAATGGGGTCGGTCTTGCGCACCGAACGCGTCATTTTTGCCGCACACACCTTCGCGCTCGTGCGGACGCGTCGAGTATAAACAAGACTCCGTGTCAGCGATCGGTAAAGGTGCACAGACCTCTCCCGAATCATCTCCAGCACTCAGCCTCTTAGCACCACTAACTCCGCCTCCGTTTCCCTCGTAAGCTGATATTAGTATTAAACATTCTCTATGATAAAAAATGTTTGTGAAAAAAATATTTTAAACATGGTTTTGGCGGTTATAGAGTTCCAATGACGGTGTTTAACTATAACTGTCACACCCCTAGTTCCACGGCGGCATCCATCTTTGTAAATGTACAAAATCTGCTTCACCGTTGCTGTGCTGTCGTCATCGTGTAAAGCCCGCCCCAACGTTTCTGATTGGTGCCGCGATTTTGACGGATTAGAAATGGGTTTGAATGAGCTCTTTGCCAGACTAACTTTCAGAGCAAATCTAAATTTGCCGGAAGTTGTCTGGGTTTTTCCAGGCTAGGTGAAATATGTGAAGTAGAGATCATTTTTCTTTGATATGCATGAGGTGAGAGAGAAAGATGTTCTCTGTTTTCATCTGTCTGTCTTCATCCGTCTGTCTCTCTCTGTCAGCATCATGTCACAGGATGTTTCTTCAGTTGTTTTATTCTTTTATTTTTCATGTGAATGTTTTGTTTCTCAGCTCCACTTCCTCATTTGACTTCAGATGATGTTGACAAAGCCTTGCAAAACTCCCCGCGGTTAATGCATGCTCGCAATACAGGTAAGCAGCACTGCAGCTCCGCCCCGGTCCCGCCCCCACTGCCTCTGACTCCGCCCCCACTGCATATGACCCCGCCCACCATCTTTGATCCCGCCCCCTCCACCTCTGACCCCGCCCCTTCTGCTTACAGCAGTCACACACACACACACACACACACACACACTGTCTGATGTGCATGCAGCGCTGCGGCTCCCCAGTTGTTGTGCATGTGCTGCATGATGCTGAATGCGATCAGTTAAACGCGTCGTGTCGCTGATGTTTTCTGCTCGTGTGTGTCTTTCAGGAGGAGCGAGTTTCATCTTCCCAAACGCCCCCGTTTACCCTGCAGACAACAGCAGAGGAGCCAGCAGAGCAGGTCAAACACACACACACACACACACTTATACACACACACACTTACGCTCACTCATACTCACTTACGCTCACTCATACTCATACTCACGCTCACTCACACACACACACACACACACACACTCACTCTCACACACACACACACACACACACACACACACACACACACACACACACACACACTCACTCACTCACTCACTCACTCACTCACTCACTCACTCACTCACTCACTTACTTTACCATCTAACAGAGGGCCAAACAGGCGTCGTACTTTACCATCTAACAGAGGACCAAACAGGCATCGCACTTTACCATCTAACAGAGGACCAAACAGGTGTTGCACTTTACCATCTAACAGAGGAGTAAACAGGCGTCGCACTTTACCATCTAACAGAGGACCCAACAGGTGTTGCACTTTACCATCTAACAGAGGACCAAACAGGTGTTGCACTTTACCATCTAACAGAGGACCAAACAGGCGTCGTATTTTACCATCTAACAGAGGAGCAAACAGGTGTCGCACTTTACCATCTAACAGAGGACCAAACAGGTGTCGTACTTTACCATCTAACAGAGGACCAAACAGGCGTCGCACTTTACCATCTAACAGAGGACCAAACAGGTGTCGTACTTTACCATCTAACAGAGGACCAAACAGGCGTCGCACTTTACCATCTAACAGAGGACCAAACAGGCGTCGTACTTTACCATCTAACAGAGGAGCAAACAGGTGTCGTACATTACCATCTAACAGAGGACCAAACAGGTGTCGTACATTACCATCTAACAGAGGACCCAACAGGCGTCGCACTTTACCATCTAACAGAGGACCAAACAGGTGTCGTACTTTACCATCTAACAGAGGAGCAAACAGGCGTCGCACTTTACCATCTAACAGAGGACCCAACAGGTGTCGCACTTTACCATCTAACAGAGGACCAAACAGGCGTCGCACTTTACCATCTAACAGAGGACCAAACAGGCGTCGTACTTTACCATCTAACAGAGGACCAAACAGGCGTCGCACTTTACCATCTAACAGAGGACCAAACAGGTGTCGAACTTTACCATCTAACAGAGGACCAAACAGGCGTCGCACTTTACCATCTAACAGAGGACCAAACAGGCGTCGTACTTTACCATCTAACAGAGGACCAAACAGGCGTCGCACTTTACCATCTAACAGAGGACCAAACAGGTGTCGTACTTTACCATCTAACAGAGGACCAAACAGGTGTCGTACTTTACCATCTAACAGAGGACCAAACAGGCGTCGCACTTTACCATCTAACAGAGGACCAAACAGGCGTCGCACTTTACCATCTAACAGAGGACCAAACAGGTGTCGCACTCTACCATCTAACAGAGGACCAAACAGGTGTCGTACTTTACCATCTAACAGAGGACCAAACAGGTGTCGTACTTTACCATCTAACAGAGGAGCAAACAGGTGTCGCACTTTACCATCTAACAGAGGACCAAACAGGCGTCGTACTTTACCATCTAACAGAGGACCAAACAGGCGTCGCACTTTACCATCTAACAGAGGACCAAACAGGTGTCGTACTTTACCATTTAACAGAGGAGCAAACAGGCGTCGCACTTTACCATCTAACAGAGGACCAAACAGGCGTCGCACTTTACCATCTAACAGAGGACCAAACAGGCGTCGTACTTTACCATCTAACAGAGGACCAAACAGGCGTCGCACTTTACCATCTAACAGAGGACCAAACAGGCGTCGTACTTTACCATCTAACAGAGGAGCAAACAGGCGTCGCACTTTACCATCTAACAGAGGACCAAACAGGTGTCGTACTTTACCATCTAACAGAGGAGCAAACAGGCGTCGCACTTTACCATCTAACAGAGGACCCAACAGGTGTCGCACTTTACCATCTAACAGAGGACCAAACAGGTGTCGCACTTTACCATCTAACAGAGGACCAAACAGGCATCGCACTTTACCATCTAACAGAGGACCAAACAGGCATCGCACTTTACCATCTAACAGAGAACCAAACAGGCATCGCACTTTACCATCTAACAGAGGACCAAACAGGCGTCGCACTTTACCATCTAACAGAGGACCAAACAGGCATCGCACTTTACCATCTAACAGAGGACCAAACAGGCATCGCACTTTACCATCTAACAGAGGACCCAACAGGCGTCGCACTTTACCATCTAACAGAGGACCAAACAGGCATCGCACTTTACCATCTAACAGAGGACCAAACAGGTGTCGCACTTTACCATCTAACAGAGGACCAAACAGGCATCGCTCTTTACCATCTAACAGAGGACCAAACAGGCGTCGCACTTAACCATCTAACAGAGGACCAAACAGGCGTCGCACTTTACCATCTAACAGAGGACCAAACAGGTGTCGCACTTTACCATCTAACAGAGGACCAAACAGGTGTCGTACTTTACCATCTAACAGAGGAGCAAACAGGCGTCGCACTTTACCATCTAACAGAGGACCAAACAGGCGTCGCACTTTGACGAATTTTTTAAACTTGTTAAATCATCTAAATCGACAAGATGTATGTTAGACCCTATACCGACTAAACTACTGAAAGAGATGCTTCCAGAGGTCATAGATCCTCTTCTTACTATCATTAATTCGTCTTTGTCTCTAGGATACGTACCAAAAACTTTTAAGCTGGCTATGATAAAACCGCTTGTTAAAAAAACGCAACTTGATCATACAAAATTAGTCAATTACAGGCCGATCTCGAATCTGCCTTTTCTATCAAAGATATTAGAAAAAGCAGTATCCTCACAACTGTGTTCCTTTCTAGAAAGAAATGATATCTGTGAGGATTTCCAGTCAGGATTCAGACCGTACCATAGTACCGAGACAGCTCTCATCAGAGTCACAAATGATTTGCTCTTATCATCCGATCGTGGTTGTATCTCTCTATTAGTGTTACTTGATCTTAGTGCTGCATTTGATACTATTGACCACAACATTCTTTTAAATAGACTCGAAAATTATGTTGGCATTAGTGGAGTTGCACTAGCATGGTTTAAATCATACTTATCTGACCGTTATCAGTTTGTAGCAATAAATGAAGATATGTCTTTTCGATCACAAGTTCAGTATGGCGTACCACAAGGCTCAGTACTAGGACCGTTGCTGTTCACTCTGTACATGCTACCCTTAGGAGATATCATTAGGGAACATGGAATTAGTTTTCACTGTTATGCTGATGATACTCAGCTCTATATTTCTTCACGCCTCGACGAAACTTACCAATTCACAAAATTAACGCAATGCATAGCCGATATAAAAAATTGGATGACTAGTAATTTCCTACTACTAAATTCTGAAAAAACAGAGATTCTAATTATTGGACAAAAAACTTCCACACGTAATAACCTAGAATACTGTCTAACACTTGATGGCTGCTCTGTTAAGTCTTCGTCGTCAGTTAGGAACCTGGGTGTGCTCTTTGATACCAATCTCTCATTTGAAAGTCACGTGTCTAGTATCTGTAAAACCGCATTTTTCCATCTTAAAAACATCTAAATTACGCCATATGCTCTCATTAACAAATGCAGAACAATTAGTTAATGCGTTCATGACATCAAGGCTAGATTATTGTAATGCTCTACTGGGTGGTTGCCCTCCACGCTTAATAAATAAACTACAGCTAGTTCAAAACGTAGCAGCTCGAGTTCTTACCAGAACCAGGAAATATGACCATATTAGCCCGGTTCTGTCAACACTGCATTGGCTGCCTATTAAACATCGTATACATTTTAAAATATTGTTGATTACTTACAAAGCACTAAATGGTTTAGCTCCGCAGTACTTGAGTGTGCTTTTAAAGCATTATAGTCCTTCATGTCTATTGCGATCTCTAAACTCCGGCCAGTTGATAATACCTAGAATATCAAAATCGACTGCTGGCGGTAGATCCTTTTCCTATTTAGCACCAAAACTTTGGAACAGTCTTCCTACCATTGTCCGGGAAGCAGACACACTCAGTCAGTTCAAAGCTAGACTAAAAACACATCTCTTTGACCTAGCATACACATAATACATTATAGACTTCGATAATTCAATGTTTGGCTGCATAGATTAGGTCAGCCGGAACTGGGAACACTTCCCTTAAATCCAGATGTACTCGTTACATCATAAGAAGAATGGCATCTACGCTAACTTTAGTGTCTTTGTTTATCCCGAGGTTTTCCTGCAGCCTGCCGGATCCAGGCCGTATCCAGATCTGACGAAGGAGATTCGCCTGGACCCGATGACAATGCAGTGCTGCAGTGTCAACTATCCTCTCCCTATGGATGATCCCTTTCCCACTCTACAGATAAAGCGCTGTTGAAAATCCGGTTCGCGTACCTCGAAGTGATAAAATAAAATTCGGTATCAAATTTATAGGCAAGACAAGTAGTTTGTTTTGGCATGGTTTGTAGGGAAATTACAAACCTGCGCACACATATTCAAACGAATATAACTATAGAATCAATTTTTAATGCGCATGTGAACGCCATCAGGTCACAGGTTCGCGTTTAAAGTCTGTTTAGAGAGAACGCCGTCGTCTTAGTGGCCCCTAATGTAATAACAAATGATAATTTTGCTGGAAGTGAATCAAATAAAACCAACTTTAGCCGAAAATAACATTATTCAAAATCGCTATAAAGCCAAAACAATCTCTGTTACCGTAAATTGTATGTTTATCTCTGTAAAGCTGCTTTGAAACAATCTCCATTGTTAAAAGCGCTATATAAATGAAGATGACTTGACTTGACAAAAAGGCGTCGCACTTTATCATCTAACAGAGGACCAAACAGGCGTCGCATTTTACCATCTAACAGAGGACCAAACAGGTGTCGTACTTTACCATCTAACAGAGGACCAAACAGGTGTCGCACTTTACCATCTAACAGAGGACCAAACAGGCGTCGCACTTTACCATCTAACAGAGGACCAAACAGGTGTCGTACTTTACCATCTAACAGAGGACCAAACAGGTGTCGTACTTTACCATCTAACAGAGGAGCAAACAGGCGTCGTACTTTACCATCTAACAGAGGACCAAACAGGTGTCGCACTTTACCATCTAACAGAGGACCAAACAGGTGTCGCACTTTACCATCTAACAGAGGACCAAACAGGCGTCGCACTTTATCATCTAACAGAGGACCAAACAGGTGTCATACTTTACCATCTAACAGAGGACCAAACAGGCGTCGTATTTTACCATCTAACAGAGGAGCAAACAGGCGTCGCACTTTACCATCTAACAGAGGACCAAACAGGCGTCGCACTTTACCATCTAACAGAGGACCAAACAGGTGTCGCACTTTACCATCTTTTACCATCTAACAGAGGACCAAACAGGCGTCGCACTTTACCATCTAACAGAGGACCAAAAAGGCGTCGCACTTTACCATGTAACAGAGGACCAAACAGGCATCACACTTTACCATCTTTTACCATCTAACAGAGGACCAAACGGGCGTCGTACTTTACCATCTTTTACCATCTAACAGAGGACCAAACAGGTGTCGCACTTTACCATCTAACAGAGGACCAAACAGGCGTCGCACTTTACCATCTAACAGAGGACCAAACAGGCGTCGTGCTTTACCATCTAACAGAGGACCAAACAGGCGTCGCACTTTACCATCTAACAGAGGACCAAACAGGCATCGCACTTTACCATCTAACAGAGGACCAAACAGGCTTCGTACTTTACCATCTAACAGAGGACCAAACAGGCGTCGTATTTTACCATCTAACAGAGGACCAAACAGGTGTCGCACTTTACCATCTAACAGAGGACCAAACAGGTGTCGCACTTTACCATCTAACAGAGGACCAAACAGGCGTCGTATTTTACCATCTAACAGAGGACCAAACAGGTGTCGCACTTTACCATCTAACAGAGGACCAAACAGGCGTCGTATTTTACCATCTAACAGAGGACCAAACAGGTGTCGCACTTTACCATCTAACAGAGGACCAAACAGGCGTCGTATTTTACCATCTAACAGAGGAGCAAACAGGCGTCGCACTTTACCATCTAACAGAGGACCAAACAGGCGTCGTACTTTACCATCTAACAGAGGACCAAACAGGTGTCGCACTTTACCATCTAACAGAGGACCAAACAGGCGTCGTATTTTACCATCTAACAGAGGAGCAAATAGGCGTCACACTTTACCATCTAACAGAGGACCAAACAGGCGTCGCACTTTACCATCTAACAGAGGACAAAACAGGTGTCGCACTTTACCATCTTTTACCATCTAACAGAGGACCAAACAGGCGTCGCACTATACCATCTAACAGAGGACCAGACAGGTGTCGCACTTTACCATCTAACAGAGGACCAAACAGGTGTCGTACTTTACCATCTAACAGAGGACCAAACAGGTGTCGCACTTTACCATCTAACAGAGGACCAAACAGGTGTCGCACTTAACCATCTAACAGAGGACCCAACAGGCGTCGTACTTTACCATCTAACAGAGGAGCAAACAGGCGTCGTACTTTACCATCTAACAGAGGACCAAACAGGTGTCGCACTTTACCATCTAACAGAGGACCAAACAGGTGTCGCACTTTACCATCTTTTACCATCTAACAGAGGACCAAACAGGCGTCGCACTTTACCATCTAACAGAGGACCAGACAGGTGTCGCACTTTACCATCTAACAGAGGACCAAACAGGTGTCGCACTTTACCATCTAACAGAGGACCAAACAGGTGTCGTACTTTACCATCTAACAGAGGACCCAACAGGCGTCGTACTTTACCATCTAACAGAGGAGCAAACAGGCGTCGTACTTTACCATCTAACAGAGGACCAAACAGGTGTCGCACTTTACCATCTAACAGAGGACCAAACAAGCGTCGCACTTTACCATCTAACAGAGGACCCAACAGGCGTCGTACTTTACCATCTAACAGAGGAGCAAACAGGCGTCGTACTTTACCATCTAACAGAGGACCAAACAGGTGTCGCACTTTACCATCTAACAGAGGACCAAACAGGCGTCGTACTTTACCATCTAACAGAGGACCAAACAGGTGTCGTACTTTACCATCTAACAGAGGACCCAACAGGCGTCGTACTTTACTATCTAACAGAGGAGCAAACAGGCGTCGTACTTTACCATCTAACAGAGGACCAAACAGGTGTCGCACTTAACCATCTAACAGAGGACCAAACAGGCGTCGCACTTTACCATCTAACAGAGGACCCAACAGGCGTCGTACTTTACCATCTAACAGAGGAGCAAACAGGCGTCGTACTTTACCATCTAACAGAGGACCAAACAGGTGTCGCACTTTACCATCTAACAGAGGACCAAACAGGTGTCGCACTTTACCATCTAACAGAGGACCCAACAGGCGTCGTACTTTACCATCTAACAGAGGAGCAAACAGGCGTCGTACTTTACCATCTAACAGAGGACCAAACAGGCGTCGCACTTTACCATCTAACAGAGGACCAAACAGGCGTCGCACTTTACCATCTAACAGAGGACCAAACAGGCGTCGCACTTTACCATCTAACAGAGGACCAAACAGGCGTTGCACTTTACCATCTAACAGAGGACCAAACAGGCGTCGCACTTTACCATCTAACAGAGGACCAAACAGGTGTCGTACTTTACCATCTAACAGAGGACCAAACAGGTGTCGTACTTTACCATCTAACAGAGGACCAAACAGGCGTCGTACTTTACCATCTAACAGAGGACCCAACAGGCGTCGTACTTTACCATCTAACAGAGGACCAAACAGGTGTCGTACTTTACCATCTAACAGAGGAGCAAACAGGTGTCGTACTTTACCATCTAACAGAGGACCAAACAGGCGTCGTACTTTACCATCTAACAGAGGAGCAAACAGGCGTCGTACTTTACCATCTAACAGAGGACCAAACAGGCGTCGTACTTTACCATCTAACAGAGGAGCAAACAGGCGTCGTACTTTACAATCTAACAGAGGACCAAACAGGTGTCGTACTTTACCATCTAACAGAGGAGCAAACAGGCGTCGTACTTTACCATCTAATAGAGGACCAAACAGGTGTCGTACTTTACCATCTATCTGAGGAGCAAAGGTATTTTATTTAACAAAATCATTATTCACTGTATTAATGTCGTGACCTGTAATAGTTACCTTAAAGAGCTCTTTCTGTTTCTGATTTAAAACATAAAACTTAGTTTGTTGGAATAAACTGATGTTTGTAGGATGGTTCATTGATGTTAAACAATATTTTGACAAAATAAGTTAATTTAGATTTTACCATTTTTAGGTTACCATTTTGTATTCATCATTCCATGCTTGATGAAACTAAACAGTTTGTTGATATAAATTGATGGTTCACTGATGTTAAATAATATTTTGACTATAACAAAATAAGTTAATTTAGAAGTTAACATGTTTTATTCATCATTCCATGCCCATTTCCACACAAGTTAAAGTGTACACGTTAAAATTAAGCATGCATGTTACAGTGATTTCACTACACAAGATGACACTGTTAGATGGTAAAGTCCTACACCTGTTTGGTTGCCTTTACGTTTAGCAATATTTCATATCCTGACTATCTCTGAATGTAATTGCAATGTTCATAATAATACTAAAACACCAGTACTTGCCATAAAAATATTGTGATGGCAAGAAATGGCAAAGCAACCAAACGTGTCGCACTTTACCATCTATCAGGGGACCAAATTCATTTTGTTTATTCATTATTCCATGCCAGTTTCCACACAAGGTAAACTTTGAATGCAAATGAGCATTTTCAGCAGACACAAGTCATTTTTCTTGCACTTCAAAGTTCACTGTTGTTTCCCATATAACTAAATAAAATGCCATCCATACAAACCCAGACACTAATTCACTTAAAAGCCTTCTATGTCGAGGTCAAAGTTCAAAATTATGAGTTGACTGTTTTATTTAAAATCTTCAGTTGGTTCAACTAGTGTTAATAGCAAGTGTTAATAGACATTCAGAACATTGGATTAAGCCAGCTGAACATTTTCATAGTTTCAGTAAGTCTATATAACATTTTGAGTCTTGCCCTGGAATAGTGCGACACCTGTTCTGTTGCTTTGGCTTTTTTTCCCTATCGATGAGTTTTTTTGTTTTTTTAATCTGGTTGAGATAAATTTTTTAATCTGTTCTGGTTTCTGGGTGGATTTTAATTTTAATAATTTTAATTTTAATTTAATTTTAAAGTTGTAAACAAGAAAGTTTTAGCCTTTTTTTCTTTTCTTTCATAAGCTCCCAGTTTGCATATGTATTAACTGCTAAATTGGTCAAATATTATCCATATGTAGAATGATGCATAACTAATTTATGGTAGCTTACATACTAAGCTGTATATTTAAAAAAAAAAAAAAAATATATATATATATATATATATATATATATATATATATATATATATATATATATATATTGTTAATTTATATGGTAATTTTCTTAGAATGTTTTAGCATTAGAGTGTAATAAAAATGTAGATAATTTAAAAAATGTCTATAATTGGCCTAATAGTTAAAAAAAAAAAAGGTCCCTTAAGTTAGCAGCCTGTTAAACAGCAGCTCTACAGTCTCAGAGCCTCTCTGGGACAGCAAGCCATCCAAACAATAGAGAAGTGTGAACGACGTGTGTTAATGGGTCAGTGCAGTTCCTGCTCCAGCCTACAGGGGCACTGCTGTGTATAGACTTAAACACACACACACACGCACACCTGTAGGTGTCCCTGTAGTAATGTCCCCTCTTTGCTCGGCGGTCCCCTGTTGGTGAGTGTGTAACGACACCATGGTCCCCTGTTAGATAGGTACACACACACACACACACACACACACACTCACTCTCTGCCTCAGTGAACAGCACGTGACGTGTGTGTTTCTCTCTCAGAGGTCAGTTATGACGTGGTCAGGCGCTCTGCATGGACTCCGAATGTGTCTGCCGCTAAAGGTTGGACAGACGTTCACATGCTGCTCACTTTACGCCACTTTAAGAGACTGTTTAACCTGAATGTGTCTTTTCATCAGTTCCCCAGGGTTCTGCTGCCATCCTGAGCAAAGCCGAAGAGCAGAGAGCTCAGTTAGGTGAGAGGATCATGGGTAATCCAGACACGAGCACTCAGATCAGTTCAGCAACAGAACAACTGCATCGCATTCAATAATAATACCTCAAATATTTATTCAAAAGAAAACAAATTGTTACACAAAAAATAACACTACAAAATAGTTTCAGACTAGTCTCAGCTGATTTCCCAATGAACTATTTTAAATGATGGAGCAGTTTTGTTTTCCTGCTATTCCTACTAACAAAAATGATTAGGGAAAATGAACATAGAATCTATAAGACAGAAAATATAGAACATTTAGAGCAGGTGAAATATAGAAGGACTGACTGTGATATTGCCTGATTTTAATTAAAAAAAAATTTTTTTAAACTATCCAACAAACTTCATTCTGTGGGATGCTTCTTTACAAGATACATATTTATGTTTATATTAGGTGTAATATTTCACTCTTCTTCTGGTGATTTTTATGATGAGAATGATTGTTTTTGTTTGTTTTAATTTCCACAGTTTAGGAAAAAATTGCACATTTTTATAGTTAGCATCCCACATTTATCATATTATTTATGACACTAGATGCAATAGTCATGACATACATGACAGAAACGAATGCAGAAAGCTTAAATAAAGGAAATCAAATAAAGCATAAATCAAGTGAACTGGTGCATGTGTCTGATGTTTGTCGTCTTCTCTGTAGATCCGTATCAGATTTTAGGGCCGACGAGCAGCAGGCTGGCGAATCCAGGTGAGAGTCAAAGCTTTTCTAGATTCAGTCCTGACAAGTCAAGTCAGATTTATTTCTATAGCACTTATAAATAAATGTGTGTGATATGTACACACACAATACACATTGTTTCAAAGCATCTTGATGTTAATGTTTATATGTTTTGAATATCTTTATGGCTTATAGCTGCATTTAACCGATTAGAGTTGGACAATAATATAGTTACATTTATAGAAATATATTGCTATATGTGAGAGTACTGTATGTACGCAGATAAAGTTGGACATTTAATTATATATCCAACCTAACCTAACCCTGCAAAATAATATAGTTATGTTTTAGTAGCATATATTGAGCTGTACAATATATAGTTAAGTTTTGCTATTGTATTTATAGAGCTGTGCGATCTAGTTACGTTTTGCAGCGATATATAGAGCTGTACGATAGTTACATTTTGCGACTATATATAGAGTTGTATGATATAGTTAAGTTTTCCAACAATATAAAGTGCTGTATAATGTATAGTTACATTTTGCAACGATATATAAAGCTGTACGATATAGTTACGTTTAGGACGATATAAAGAGCTGTACAATATATAGTTACATTTTGCAACAGTATAAAGTGCTGTTGAATTTATAGATACATTTTGCAACGATCTATAGAGCTGTACAATATAGTTACGTTTGGGACAATATATAGAGTTGTACAATATATAGTTATGTTTTGCGATATATATAGAGCTGTACAATATATACAGTAGTTATGTTTTGCAGCGATATATAGAGCTGTACGATATATATATATTTAAGTTTTGCCACAATATAGAGCAGTACAATATATAGTTACGCATATAGTTACGCGGCTATATATAGAGCTACATGATATAGTTACATTTGGTACGATATATAGAGTTTTGCGATATATATATAGAGAGAGAGCTGTACGATATATATAGTTACGTTTTGCGATGATATAAAGAGCTGTACGATATATATAGTTACATTTTGCTACAATATAAAGTGCTCTACAATGTATAGTTACATTCCGCGACGATATATAGAGCTACATGATGTAGTTACATTTGGTATAATATATAGAGTTTTACGATATATATATATATATATAGAGCTGTATATAGAGCCGATATATATAGTTACGTTTTACGATGATATAAAGAGCTGTACGATATATATAGTTACATTTGGTACGATAAATAGAGTTTTGCGCTATATATATATATATATATATATATATATATATATATATATATATAGAGCTGTACGATATATAGTTACATTTTGCAACAATATGAAGTGCTGAACAATGTATACTTACATTTTGCGATGATATATAGAGCTGTACAATATAGTTTAGTTTGGGACGGTCTATAGAGCTGTACAATATATATTTATGTTTGGGACAAAATATAGAGCTGTACAATTTAAAGTTTCGTTTTGGGACGGTATATAGAACTGTACAATATATAGTTACGTTTAGGACGAAATATAGAGCTGCATGATATAGTTACATTTGCTACGATATATAGAGCTGTATGATATATAGAGCTGTACGATATATAGTTAGGTTTTGCTACAACATCTAGAGCTGTACGATATATAGATACGTTTTGCAACAATATATAGAGCTGTACGATATATAGTTAGGTTTTGCTACAACATATAGAGCTGTACGATATATAGATACGTTTTGCAACAATATATAGAGGTGTACGATATATAGTTAAATTTTGCAACAATATAAAGTGCTGTACAATATACGATATGAGGAGTTATATTTTGCGATGATGTATAGAGCTGAACGATTTTTAAAAAATAACAGTTGAGATTTGCTATACACTATATATCGCATTACATGAGTGTTCTATATGTAGGCGGATAAAGTAGTTTAAACTTCTAGTAATTGTATCATTTGTAATTAGTTAAAGTAATGACCCTAATGTGTCATCAGGCTCCGGTCAGATCCAGCTGTGGCAGTTCCTCCTGGAGCTTCTGTCCGACAGTGCCAACTCGTCCTGCATCACGTGGGAAGGAACCAACGGAGAGTTCAAGATGACCGACCCCGACGAGGTGGCCCGGCGCTGGGGTGAGCGGAAGAGCAAACCCAACATGAACTACGACAAGCTGAGTCGAGCCCTGCGCTACTACTACGACAAGAACATCATGACCAAAGTGCACGGCAAACGCTACGCGTACAAGTTCGACTTCCACGGAATCGCACAGGCCCTTCAGCCGCACCCCCCCGACTCGTCCATGTACAAGTACCCGGCGGATCTGCCCTACATGAGCTCGTACCACACACACCCGCACCCGCAGAAGATGAACTTCATGTCTCCGCATCCTCAGGCCATGAACGTCACATCGTCCGGGTTCTTCAGCGGCCCGAGTCCGTACTGGAACGCTCCGGGTTCGGGAATCTACCCCGGCCCACGACACCCCGCCACACACATGCCCTCCTACTACTAGACATCTACATCACAAACATCTCAAGACATCAAACTGGAGAATCCCAACCATCCGCCGGCACTTGCCGGATATAAAGCAGGAGAACCCGCCTGGAGTCCGAGAGCCGTGTGGATTCAGCGGCGGGAATGTGAAAGTGGCAATATAACATGTAAAAGGGGCTTTTACGCTGCATGATCAAGTACTTATTCAGCTATATGTTCATGTGTACCTTAATGTACAAACACACATATCAGAGAGAGTTCAGAGAGAGAGCGACAGAACGTGAGACAGGTCAGAGGAAGAGAGACAGGTGTGTGAGGTAAGAGAGGACGCTGAGGTATGTGAGAAGATGAAGATTAATCTCTTGCCATATTGTATCAGTATTATGTCGCCCGTATGGCATCAGAGATCGAAACCTGCCTTGACAATGGCGAAAACTGGAATTTAAAGCTTTCAGATGTTTTTAATGACATCAAACCATTAAAGACCGAGGTGCATTTATATGAACCCGTGCCTTACTATGGGAGCTTGTTTACGCCAGGTGACTGCGACTTTTTATCTCGCAATTAAGAGTTTATATCTCGCAATTCTGATTTTTTCTCGCTATTCTGAATTTATATCCACAATTCAGACTTTTTATCTCGCAAATCTGAAATCTCGTAATTCTGACTTTTTCTCGCAATTCCGAGTTTATATTTGCAATTCTGACTTTTTTTCGCAATACTGTTTTTTTCCCACAATTGCGAGTTTATATCTCGCAATTTTTACATTTTTATCTCGCAATTAAGAGTTTATATTGCGCAATTATGAAATATGTCTTGCAATACCTAGTTTATATCTTGCAATTCCGACTTTTTCTCGCAATTCCGAGTTTATATAAAAAGTCGCAATTACTTTTTTTTTCTTTTTTTTATTCTGTGGCGGAAACCAGCTTCCATCCCTTATAGAGGGATCCAGCTGAAGAGATTTACCAAAGACACCAGTATTTGTATTATTATTAATTATTATGATGATGTTCTGAGTCACAAACGCTGTGCGTTTGTTAGATTGAAGTATACAGTTCAGTGTTATAATTCTTTTTATATAATAGATATATAACTTATGCATTTAAACACTACGAGTTGATCTCAGCCAGCCAAACACAGACATTAATCACAGACGTAGAGAAACAGACCAAAGAAGTGAAACACTCCAGCAGTTTGATGATTCTCTGTATTAGCCGTTGTTTACAGTGAACACACACACACACACACACGCATGTTCGTATGACGCTGGACTGGCAGCACACGGGCTCTGACCGACTGAACCCAGATCAGATCAGACGCCCTGATGCTCTGAGATTGTTGACAAAGGGAAGAAAACATATACTTAGATAAATTATATGGTTTTCTACTGAATCATTTTAATAAACTATTTTCAACAACGTCGTTCTTCTCGTTTGAGTAAAGAAACACCACATTGTCTCTTGTTCCTTTCATAAACAAAGACCAGCGACTGTTGCCTCAAAACACACACACACACACACACACACACACACACACACACACACACTCACACACACACTTACTCTCACACATACACACATACACTCTCTCTCTCTCACACACACACACACACACTGGCTGTCCGAGCCTCTCTGTTGCCACAACAGTCATGAACTCTATAATCATTTGAAGACAATGTAGAGTTTGTTGGGTTTAAAACACAAAATATAAGTCACATATTTATGCAAGGGGAAACATGAATCAAATATTTTTTCTAAAACAATTACAGAAGTTCTGAAATGGATTAAAATATATTAAGAGTAAAACAAACCAGAAACACAGAAAATACAAACTGTGAATAGATCTGATGGTGAAAGTGTCTCTGTGAAGGTGGAGGATAAATGAAGACATTATATTCTGATTAAATAAGACAGTCCGCTGTTTTCTATGTGAATATACAGTAAAGTGTAATTTATTCCTGAATTTTCAGCATCATTACTCCAGTCTTCAGTGTCACATGATCCTTCAGAAATCACTCTGTATCTTGAGCATCAGATCCTCATATTAGAGTGATTTCTGAAGGATCATGTGACACTGAAGACTGGAGTAATGATGCTGAAAATTCAGGAATAAATTACACTTTACTGTATATTCACATAGAAAACAGCAGATTTACACTGGAGTAATATTTTGTGATTTTTCCAGTATTTTTAATTAAATAAATGCAGCTTTGATCACAGGAATAAATCACACTTAAAATAAAGTCGCAGATAAATCATTCCCGATTGACTTCCATCAACAGGAATGCGGAGTGAAGCGAGTGTTTGTGTCGTGTTCGTCACTCAGACGTTCCTCCTCGTTCCCGCCTGTACTCCTCCTCCAGCTGGAGCTTCTCCGCGGCGCAGGGGCTCGTCGGCGGCTCGCTGCACAGCGTCACCCTGTCGAAGACGCTGAAGTCCGCGGTGAGTTTGCCCCCGCGCGTGTGCGACAGCACCGGCGCGAACTCGTGAGCCCACAGGATCTCCTGAGGCGTGTATGAGGTTCGGCTCTGGCACGAGGAGGCCGTGGACTCGACGGTCCCGTTCAGGGTCACGAGCAGCTCGAACTCTCGTCTCAGGAGCTCGTCCGCCGTGAGGTTCGCTAGCGGGCTTCTCTCGTCCAGCGCGTGCGAGAAGGTTAGCGGTAGCAAGAGGAACGGACACTCTCCGCACGAGTCCAGCTGGAAGTCGACGCTCTCCTGATGAAGGAGGATCTTCTCTCCCTCTTGCGTGACGCGATTGGATAGAAGTTTCCCCGAGAGCTGGCACTGAATCAACAGGCTGTTCCTTAGGTTAGCGACGCGTACCATGAGTCGTAGCCTCCCGTCGCGCACACACACGACCGCCACGCGACTGAACCGGATGCTGCCCGCGCGCTTCTTCGGTCGCGCTAGCTTAGCGAGAAACGCACCGGTGACGAAGATCTCGGCTAGCCCTGTTAGCACCAGCTGTAGCACTAGCGTCAGGATCGCGAGAGGACATTCCTCGGACACGTGCCGGAAGCCGTAGCCGATGGTGCTCTGGGTCTCCAGGGAGAACAGGTACGCGCCGGTTAGCGAGTCCACGTTCATCACGCACGGCGTGTGATTGGAGGACGGGTCCGAGTCGAAGTCGCCGTGGCTCAGGCCGATGAGGTAGAACACCACGCCGAACACGAACCACGTCATGACGAAGGTGGAGGCGAACAGAGTGATCTTGTAACGCCACTTGATGTCCACCACCGTGGTCCAGATGTCGTGCAAGAACAGCTTGATCATTCCCTCCACGTTATCGATCTTCACGTTACTGTGGCCGTCTTTGGACACCAGGCGCCGCACGCTCTCCGTCATCATGAGCTTCTGTCCTGAGGAAGAGAAAACACGGGCTAACTCGAGCAGCTTCACAGCACTGGCGGCCGTCGTCCTGCTCCACTTCACACACACACGCAGAGACAGAGGATTATAGGATGAGCTCGTTTATACCACACTTTATTCAATAGGAGGAACAGCTCGTTCAGCGCATCACACGTCATTACGCTATTTCTACATCATTACGCTATTTCTACATCATTACGCTATTTCTACATCATTACGCTATTTCTACGTCATTACGCTATTTCTATATCATTACGCTATTTCTACATCATTACGCTATTTCTACGTCATTACGCTATTTCTACGTCATTACGCTATTCCTACGTCATTACGCTATTTCTACGTCATTACGCTATTTCTACATCATTGCGCTATTTCTACGTCATTACGCTATTTCTACATCATTACGCTATTTCTACATCATTACGCTATTTCTACATCATTACGCTATTTCTACGTCATTACGCTATTTCTACATCATTACACTATTTCTACGTCATTACGCTATTTCTACGTCATTACGCTATTTCTACGTCATTACGCTATTTCTACATCATTACGCTATTTCTACGTCATTACGCTATTTCTACGTCATTACGCTATTTCTACGTCATTGCGCTATTTCTACATCATTACGCTATTTCTACATCATTCCGCTATTTCTACTTCATTACACTATTTCTACGTCATTACTCTATTTCTACGTCATTACGCTATTTCTACATCATTACGCTATTTCTACATCATTACGCTATTCCTATGTCATTACGCTATTCCTACGTCATTACGCTATTTCTACATCATTACGCTATTTCTACATCATTACGCTATTTCTACGTCATTACGCTATTTCTACGTCATTACGCTATTTCTACATCAGCTATTTCTACATCATTACGCTATTTCTACGTCATTACGCTATTTCTACGTCATTACGCTATTTCTACATCATTACGCTATTTCTACATCATTACGCTACGCTATTTCTACATCATTACGCTATTTCTACGTCATTACGCTATTTCTACGTCATTACGCTATTTCTACATCATTACGCTATTTCTACATCATTACGCTATTTCTACATCATTACGCTATTTCTACGTCATTACGCTATTTCTACATCATTACGCTATTTCTACATCATTACACTATTTCTACATCATTACGCTATTTCTACGTCATTACGCTATTTCTACATTACGCTATTCTACATCATTACGCTATTTCTACATCGCTATTTCTACATCATTACGCTATTTCTACATCATTACGCTATATACGTCATTACGCTATTTCTACATCATTATGCTATTTCTACATCATTACGCTATTTCTACATCGCTATTTCTACATCATTACGCTATTTCTACATCATTACGCTATTCCTACGTCATTATGCTATTTCTACATCATTATGCTATTTCTACATCGCACATGCGCAGTCTTTCAGTTTGGGTTTTCAGTCGGATCAAGTGTTCACATGTTCTCTCCATCGCATTAGAAAAGGAATAAACACTCCTTTCCACCCGATCGTCGTGTCTTTGGGATCGAGCTCGATCGGGGCGATTAAAGTGTTCACATGAAGGATTTTCAGTGCGATTGAGCCGTCAGTCCCATCACTAGCGGATGATTTGGTTGCATGTAAACGTAGCCGATGATGCAACTTCATCAAATATGAGACGCACTGCTGTAAAGCTGCTCTAAAGGACAGGCATTATACAGATACATTCATCTGATTCAGTCAAATCAATAATAGTCGAGTCTCCTTCATCTATACAGCGCTTTACCAGCACAGATGTTCCACAGCAGCTTTACAGTGATAACAGGAGATTACAGTGACAGAGAGTGTTTAGGCTTTACAGCAGCTCTAGAATAAAGTTATTGTCCAGATAAAGTTAGTTTTGATTGATTCACTTCCGTTGTAAAGATCATTAGTTATTAACTTAGGCCCCATCCACACTACTGCGTTTTAGTTTAGAAACGGAGAATTAAAATGAATACGATCTCCGTCCACACCAGCGTTTTAGCTGCGTATTAGAATTGATATCCGTCCACATTAAAACGACTGAAAACGCGGATCACGTGACCATTCACCTACACCGGGCATGCGCTGCTGGTGTAAACAGGACACAGATGGGCTATTCCTCAGATTTGACGAAGAAGAAAGTAGCTAAGTTACCTCTGCAAAGAGCGACGCTCCATGTACGTTCGATCCCGCCGCTGCACACGGGTCACAGATCGCTCGAATAATAGCTTGCCTCCGGCGCATGTACGCAGTTGTAGCGTTGAAAAATGCAGAATTTACTTTCACAACAGCTCCTAGCAAAGACATCAAAGTCAGAAACGCTCGCCATGACTGATGACACCCAACCAGAGAGCCGAGGTGAGCCTCCGCGTCATCGTTTCTAAAGTCCTCCGTCTTGACCCGTCTTCACTACAACGCCCTCCGGAGATTCAAAACGCAAAACGGGGTCGGCAGCGTTTCTAAACTTCTCCGTGTTAGGTCTTCGTTTTGCTGTTTTAGTCTGGATGGGAGGTGCAAACGTAGCAAAAGGTCTCCGTTTCTAATCTAAAACGTAGTAGTGTGGACGGGGCCTCAGGGGCCGCTAACACGCAAGGGCGTAGATTTGGTTTGAACATTGGGGGGGGTTGAAGTTTGGGTATGCCTCCTGATATTGTGATCATGGTATAAATAATAGGGGGGTTGTAATGCATAGATTTAAATATTGGGGGGGTTATATCCCCCCCCCAATCCCCCCCCCCCCCCCCCCCACACACACACACACAAATTACGCCCCTGCTAACACAACACCGCTCTACAGAAGACAGAAACCCTTAATGTGTTCCGGCCGTTCATTCACACACAGTGTTTGAGATCGAGAACACACACTCTGAAACGGGTTCCAAGTCACAAGTTAAAAAAAAAAAAATTTAAACGTGATCATCTCCGTGTAAACTTCAAAAACGTGAGTCTGAAGCGCTGGCGGCGCACATGCGTATCACATGTTTAGTCTATAGATGTGTGTGTTTGATATACAGTATATGTGTGCAGGCGCGTACTCTTTCTTTACAAGGTTGTTTCCTTACAAATGTCTCGTCTGGCAGCGTAACACAGAATCATTAGTCGTTTCGGCGGATCCATGTGAACTGGAATCAGTTTGATAATGTTTAGTCTGTGCAGAGGTGAAGGAGACGAGTGTGTGTTAAACCCAGTGATGCTGAACATCAGGACAGAAATGGAGAAACCAGGATCAAATCACTGAGTTATGATCCCAGGCTGCATTAATATCAGTCACAGTTCTCCTTCAGGTCCTCTTCACCTCAGTCTATCACTCATCATCAGTGTGTGCAGCTGAGACTTCAGACCGCGGTTGAACTCGCTCAGTTCTCCGAGTTAATCAACAGTTCTGCAGTTGTAAATTAACAGAGCAGCTCAAGTTCACAAACACACGTTCATAAATACTGTATATAAATGAGGAGATTCATAACGGCATAATCTTTCATCTGTGAGAGGCAGTGAGTCTCTGCTGGTCTCTCACCTGATCGAGCCGGGGAACGTCTCGCTGTCGTCCGCGTGTGTGAGTCTGTGGCTCGAGATGGCGAGGACAGTTAATGAGAGTCTGAAGGAAATCACAGTCGAACCAGTCGAGCCGGTTCTCAGGAACGCCTCCTGTTCTTACATTACTGTTATGAGTCCAAACACACACACACACACACACACACAGACAGACACTCACAAACACACACACACAGACAGACACTCACAAACACACACACACAGACAGACACTCACAAACACACACACACACACACACTCACACACACACACAGACACTCACAAACACACACACACACACACACGCACACTTAATAAATCAAGACACATTTACTGGAGATTCTAATTGACTGAAGATATTAAGTCTTGTTTGTGAAATAGTGAGTTAGAGCTAAAGCAGAACAGATCTCAGTTTCCCTTTGATTTAAGAGATTTCATTAGCAGATCTGTTCTTGTTTTAAGCTCAAACTCACTTCATTTTGATGTATTTATCATAAACAAGACTCAATATCTTCAGTCAGAGTAACAGAAATGTGTCAATATTTGATGTTTAAATGCAGTGAAATAACTCCACAGATCTGCCGTTTGATACATTTATTTCGGAAACGTTTTAGTTCATAACGTGTTTTTAAACGTTACTCCTCGTTTCAGATCGTTCAGAGAACATTCAAAAGTAACAATGGAGAGTATCGTATAACCACGGAAAAAAACGTTTTCAAAACATTTAATAAACTGGACATTTTGAACGTTCAGAGGACATTCTCACAGGCTGAAGAGAAACGGCTCCGTGTGAACCAGAATATATATATGCCTGTGTTGAACATTGATGGAGCAACAGATTGTGCGTGAAAATAAATCATAAAAGTGGTTTGTTTTGTTTAAAAATCGTATAAGTGTGTACGCAATGTGAGGGTTTGATGTGTGTTAGACTGATGACGTCACGTGACCTCACCTTGACCTTTGGTGACCTTTAACCCTAACCCTGACCCGGTTCACTGCCACTGACTGAGTCAACTCGTCAAACGTTACAGTATTCTGCAGATTCCACTCCTCGTCATCCACTTTAAGTTTATATGAGATATCTGACTAGTCACACAAACACACACACACACACACACACACACACACACACAGTCATATACTTTATACTACTTTTATTGGAAAATATTACAGATAATATTATGACTATTCAGATATCTCAAATAAACATGTCTATTATCATTCTAATTCAAATTATGATTTTTTTTTCTTCTTTATACTACATTCTGTTGACATTTTCTCCTTTTCTGTTATTCACATACATCATGTATGTGACAGATGAAGGAACCTTGAACTCTTGAATTTTATTATTGATATTTCCGGTGAAATATGTAAATGTGATCTAATCTATAAATATGTATTAAGTAATTTCCACTAGTAAGAATGTTGCATGATTCCCCCCATCTCTGTAATTCTTGAATTTCTTCAG